GGCTTTGGCCATGTTTTTTATGAGAGTATAACATTATAACATGATATAAAACTCAAAAAAGTTGATTCTACATGATGCTGCCCCTTTAAAGTTTTAGCGTTTTGGACACAAAGCTGCTCATTCCAACGGTGGAAGCAACCCTTCAAAATAAAAGCTGTAACATGTAACTGTTTGGTGCAACGACATAGTTTAATGGTTTAGTCCTATAGCATGTTGACTAAATTTGCCTCCTACATCACAAGAGCCTGCAATATGATTATTGCAATGATGATGCTCAAATAACACATCGGGCAGCTCTAGTCCATAATTTTTCTTTAGAACCCCCTCTTGAAAAAAGATCTCCAGAAGACCTCTGCTTCACAATGCTCCAATTAGATGTGTGATGGACTCCAAGGGCTGTTTGACTCCACTGACAGTCTCATAGGGTATTCTCGTCATAAAACGCTGAGAACGGACGGGTTTGTAGTGTGTCATAAAAAAAAAAGATTGGATGAAGACCGTTCTCCATTCGCCACTGAAGGGGGCTTTTGATAGTTCACACATATTTCATAATTRAGCCTTGTTCCCAGCGTTCGTCTTGCAATATTAAGAGCCCTTCACTGCTGCCAGGAAATAATAGGTGAGAGAACATAGCAATCACACTACATCAAAATCTGTGTATCCAATTTACGGGGGTGCTTGCTCTTTTACATACAGTGCTTCCTCTTTGAAATCGAAAGCTGCCTTGTGATCCTTAGAACAAAATGATTACTTCCTGCACCATAAATCAATTCTCTTGAATGCCGTTGCCTATAAAATAAACTCTCGAGTCCGAAGTGATGCAATCATATATTGTTTTATTTCTGCAGTGAATAGTGTATATATCGTTTGAAAAGTGCAGTTTGGCTGTGATTGGAAAATAAAAAAATAAATTGCTGGTAGAGCTGCCGTGAGTTTCYGTCTTACAGCCGTGTCCAGTATGGAGAATCTTCTTTAAGACCCGCTTTTCTGTAAAAGAGAGCTTTAATCCATTTTAAAGGGAGACGGGGCAGTCCAGATTAGGGAAATGTGGATCACCCCTAGCAGCTCGCTGATGGATTCCATTTCTCACAGTCTGGCTGGCTGGCGTTTGATAAGATTTGAGGCGCTGTGGCAGGAATTGTGAGAGATGATGAGCGTGTAAGGGCGGGGGGAGAAAGAGAGAGAGCGAGAGAGCAGTTTCCTGGCAATCACATACCCGTTGGGATTGCACGAGTAGAGGGAAGGCCTGTATCTCTGCTGCATCTCTGCATCAGCACTCATTCCGAGCTCTTTACTTAGACACCACCTTTTGACATCAGTCAGTAAAATTTATTCACGGATGTTATCTTTTCGTAGTATCAGTTGTAATATCAAGGAGACAAATACAATATCCTTTTTGTGTTAGATGTTTCAGTGTGCGGGAGTGAGCGGTGTCACACAAACCGCCTTGAACGCATTCAAAAAGTTGAATGTAAACGAGAAAAGCTAGTTGAGTTGTGGTAAACTAATTCACACGAGACCACAGAGAGCAACATCTGATCAAAATGAGTCAAGATTGCTGCTCAGTGTCATGTTTGATTCTCTGGAAGCGACACCATGTAAGTTTTTATTTAACCGTGAAAGCCTGAGCTAAACTTCCTCAAAACAGTGAGCTGTAAGGAGAAGTTGAGCCACTGTTGGCATTCTGACAAAGTTTGGAAAACAGTGTGTTTTTTTATAGGCGTCATCAATCCAGAGTATGACTGGAAAAGTTCATAAAAATAGTCCATAATACTAATTTTACCTTACTTATTCTAAAAGTTTCCACGGTTTAAGAAAGATGAATAAATAACAACAAATGCAACATCAGTTTTAATTCAAATATTGCAGATTTTCTCGAGGGTTCTTATAAAAACGTAGTTGCATGTTTAACGATGTGCAGCCAGCACTCCATTAGCTCGACTTTGCACACAGATTGGAAACTGTGTGAAACTTTAAGCCTAGTTGAGTCTGATTTTCTATTGTTATTRAGACCATCAATTTTCACCTTGGCATAGATACTGGAAATGATCCAAATGCAGACAGAGGTTGGGCCAGGTGAAAGAGTGGAGACTTATTGTATTTCCGTAGTGAATGGAGGGAGACATGAGAACGGGGAGCGTGGCTGTAACAGAATGGCAGGAAGTGAGTGAGTGGCAGACAAGCTAAGATTCCTGGAAGGCAGAGAGAGAAAACAGAAGTTAGCTCAGGGGTAGAATCTAATAAGAGAAAGCGAGAACGGAGAGGAGATGGTGAAACATTCAGACACCAGTCGGTGACAAACAATAATTCGGTGATGATTTATTTTTTTATTTTTTTTTTTTTTGTTTGTTTTACCTATTTGAAACTATGACCAGGAGAAAAAAGTCTGATTAATTCTGCCAAACTGGTGATGTGAACTTTCCTCTTTTATCCACAATTTCCTCTCAAGCTGTTGCGCTCATTTTCAACTTTCACTCCACGTTGTTTTTTTTTATTATTATTTTTAAGCAGTTATGAGGCACGGTGGTAAAACATGAAATGACTACTGCACGTTACAGAGCAAGTTGTTGCTAGCTTACCAAAGAGTAAGTGAGTTAGTTGATGCACCAGCCTTGCTTAGCTGGACCGTGAGAYGTCAAGCAGCTGAAGCCCTGTCTCTGCCCCCCAGAAATGCCATGTGGTTCTGGATCGAAGTTCAGTGAAATTATCAACATTCTATGTGACATATTGTCTATTGATACTGTCCACATGTATGTTGTTAACTTCATYAACCAAAAACAAGAATAAACAGCTGTATTTTCTCTGTAGACCCCAAATTTTCACCGGCAACTAAACCAGTGACTTATGTCATACAAATGCCTYRATACACACACCGATAAAGGTCACAGTTGAGGTGAAGACAGTCAATAAATCACATTATCAACAGTCACCAAGAACCCTGCCGTCTCTCCTCAGAGAGAAAACCCCAACTTGATGCAGACTAAAACAATGGAACGTTGCAAAAAGGTTCTACAAAAATTTAGTATTTACACAGAGATSTCATCAGAGCAACAAAAACAGTCCACAGAATCCCCGAACAGAAACTTTAGGTCAAACGCCATCCAACACCAACATCATCCACTGAAGTGCTCTCTGTCTGGTGAAAAATGACTCACCCTTTTAGTCGACTTGCAGAAAACAGTTCAGTGCGACGGCGGTATCTGCTGGAGTATAGAACCTCTGTCTCGTGACGCCATTAAATGAGGTGTAAAAACCAAGTCGTCTCGGCTCTGCAAACTGTGTTGTTGTTCCTGAAGAGAAAAACTCTGAAACAGGCTGGTTGAACAGCAAGAATCTTTACTTTGCAGTCCAGGAGATTTACAGCCAAAAACCTAATTGTGGCCTTCTAAGCCAAATGAATCACCAGGTGAAAAGATGAAGACGAAGGCGAAGAGTAGGGGCGTACAAGCCTTTTTATAGGTTTCACAGTGCAGTCCAACAGATGCACCATAAATTTTGTCACTGTATACCTTAAGCATTCCTTTCCTAATATGGCAACATGTGCCGAGTTCTGAAGCTGAGGTCTAAGAGAGACATAGCACATCTGTGCATTCCTGACAAGAGGCCCCCACTTTTAGACACTACATTGTGATATATATATTATTGATTTGTTGCCCAGCATATTTGGCTAAAATTTGGTATGGGAGTATAGCTGAGACTCCACAATACATATTCAGAGTTCTAACAGATCTTTGTTAAAACATTTTATACATGGCAACCCCTTTGGACGTTTCTCTGTATTTTGCCCCTCAAAAATTTGTGTTTTTTACCAAAAAAATGTATTATACAATTTTGGGGCAGGACGGCAGGGAAAGTAGACGTTGGGCGGAGATAACAGCGTCTGCAACACAGAGGAGCAGGGAAAGGAGGACATGTAGAGGTGATAAACTTCTTTCTAGTCCCACAGGCTCTGAGACATAAAATAAATTTTAAGCTGTGTTTTTGAAAAAAAATCAGTGAGACCCTTTATAAGTCCATTTACCTGTAAACTGTAGGAACATCTGTGTAATTTACCGACAACGTACAAGCTGACGTTCAAAATTTAAGTATTTGAAATCAACTGTCTGCCTGATTATACAAAACAAAATACAAACYAAATGTAAAGCTAGAGATGTGATGTTCACAAATGATCCAAATCTTTTGTATGGCTCCTTACAACGAACGAGTTGTATGTTTTTCTTCCTTGTATTATCTTTATTTTTCCTCCTTAACCACAGAGACAATCACTCCAGCTTCACTTTTTCACAAAAAACAGGCAGAGCGCGGTGGAGTATAGCAACTCAGGGGGAAATGGGGAGGGGTTTCTGCTTGACAAAACACATGGTACTGCCCACGTGACGTAATGACATCATCACGTTTGACGCATGTGATTTTTCCCTATATGTGAAGGATGARGTAACTCYWTCAAAATCGAACGGCTGTTATACACGACTCTATGAAACCAACGGCTCCTCAAGATCCAGATCCCTTCAAAGACCTAATTATCCCATCTCTAAGTAAAACAACTCCCGTTTTTTTTTGTCACTCTTGCAAGCATTTGTATTAAGAGGTGATTTATAACTTTAGCTTTGTTAAGACAAGACAGCACTGATAAATCTGATAACAGTAAAGTTAGCAGTAATTTATTACGTCACAGTTGTCTGAATAAAACATGGTTGTGGAAAAAGTGTTAAACATTCACAAGGAAAAGCAATTTTTTAACAACTAATTTTGTTCAAACAACCAAATTATATTACTCTTTTATTTTCATTCTAACACACCTCACCTCATCTAGTCTCATGTTACGGTTCAATTCGCCTTTGTCTTCTTATCCTCTCTCTTTTCCATTAATTCTATTTGCTCAGGTTGCAGGATCTCGTAACAACTTTGAAAGTGGACTCAAGCAGCACCTGGAGCGCCTCGATGAGATCTTCAGTACGAGGACGGACTACCTCCAAGCGCTGCGCTTCATGCAGCTGATGGTTAACAATGTCCTCCGTGAGCTGACTGCTCTGCCAGACATCAGCAAAACAGAGGCTYACTTGGCAGCCATTGCAGACCAGACAGCTTTCATTGAGTATTACAGGTAGGTGGAGCTTTAGCAACTCCCTTAAACTGATGGATACAATTTTGTTTTATGAGTGTGTGTGTGTGGACGGAGTAAACACACTGCTCAGAATGGAGTAGAAGTGAGAGCAGGAGTGTAACAGATGGGGTTTTATTGATCTCCCCTGAGGAGCCCAAGCCGGAAAAGCCATTTTTTTCCCTCCCTGATTGCTAAATAAATGAAAACTGAGAACGAGCTCATTTTCCACAAATCAGTTGAGTTTTTACACGGATTGCCCTCGCAGAAATTATGCACGGCAGAGTGTCTGTGTAACCTTAAACCGTTTCCATCCGCTCAAATTGACTGCAAATCATTTGAGGTTAAAAAAGTTTGGTGAATTCAATAATTTGATCCAGGGAGGGGAAATGAAGACATAACTCAAAATAATGCAAATATCTTAAAAAAAGAGTGAGAAAATGGTTGTTTATGAAGTGTGACAAGCTGTTCATTCAACTTGAATCCGCATACAAAATATAAATTGGTGCAATCTGTCATGAGGACATAAACAATCATTCTGCTGTAATGCCCCATTGTTTGCACCACTTCCATTGTTTGTAAAAAAAACTTTTAGTCCAGAAATGATTTAGTCTTTTGATCATGCAATGGTCTTATTTGAACACTCTGGCATAAAAGGCAGACAAAGCAGCAGACAACAAATAATCATTTTCTACCACTGGTAGTGATACAATATCCCTATATCAGTTTCATACGGTCTTACATGGCTCCACATGAGGTGTTCTTTCTGTTCTGACACCGGATCTTCTTTAGGACCCCAGTTATCTGACACTGATCCCCTGGGTCTAGATTGGATTTTTTTGTACTTACAGAAGAGCCTGCAGCTGGGTTTTGAACAGAAAATGTTACAGCCAGTCCAATGTCGTTTGAACAAAGCAAAAATGATACTTTTTTTTCCTGGCCCCTCAGTATTATATGTTTTTTCCTCTGTTCGYTTATGTCTTGGTGCTTCTACTGTTCTGCTTCCACAGACAAAGTGCGCAACCTCCATTCATTTGCCCTCGTCTTTGAGTAAAGTAATGGCCAGCCAGCAGTTTATTGAGTCTGTGAGAGTAGCTCTGCACTTCTTTGTGAGAATGAATCATATTCTCCGCTGACCTCAGTGCACAGAATAACTGTGGTGCTACAGGTGCATCAAGCTTGTGTCAGACTATAGTATTCCGCCAGTTTAACTATTTATGTGATGTCCTGAACATTCAAGTTTGTGTTTTGGATGTGCATTGACCACGCTGTTAGGCCACGAGTAGTTGTCATGAGATTTTGCATTTGTTTGGCTGTAGTCCAAACGTAAATACATAGAGCCTTCAAACCTGGAGTCAGCCATTCTTGAGAAGGACGTTTTCAAAGGAGTATAAAAAATTAATGTCAATGGATTGGTGGTGTTGAATTATTAAGCCCTACAAGCTGGAAATTACCTGAAACAGATGGGCTCTAACTAGGAGACAAGAATGCTGATACAAGACACACATTCATCTCACACTTTCAGTGGGGAAACATATGTTCAGCCGACGCTCTCCGAGGCGCCAACATGTGCGTGTAATGTGCTGCTTGTAAGTGGAAGTTAATGATGGAGATTGTAACTGATGCTTTTTTTTTCATGTCTTGTAGATGGCTGACGTATCTGCTGCTGCTCATCCTTGATCTGGTCATTTGCCTGGCCATGTGCTTGGGGATAGCCAAGCAGTCTCGATGTCTGCTTGTCATGTAGGTACCACGAGTGTGAATGTGCTCAATCTTTCATTTTTTTTTCTCTTGTTCCGTTACATTTCTGTTTTGATTGAGTTACCTCAGAAAGGAAAGATAACTTGATCACGTGTCAAACTTAAGGTCCACAGGCTTAATGTGGCCCGCCACAGCATTTTAAATGGCCCGCAAGAGCTTCAAATGTGTATTAATGTCTTTGAAATTAGCGTGTGCTTCTTTATAGCCAGGCTGGATTATTTTATCCACAAGGTGGATTTGCACAGGGTTTAAAAAGTGTCGGTGGTGGGCATAATCATCTAAAATCTCCACTTCACTGCATTTTTGCTGGTTACTTTTGCTGCTGTCCAGCTATACTGGGAGTAAATTTTAACCAGAATGGCCCTCCGGTGGGAGTTTTCTGTAGGAACGAGTTCAGAATTCATGATGGCAGCTACTCACCACAACTCAACCACAGGGAGTAAAACACTCTTACTTTTACTTTTAATAGTATGTCTGTATGAATTTATGTCACATTTAGTCAGTCGCACACATAGTACTTTTCAGTGTTTATAAGAGAACGTGTTAAAATGCTGTTTCTATGCAGGAAAAACCACATAGAGCTCAGTTMTTGTTTGTTAACTGTGCTCAMTCATAGCAATGAGACAAAGWACATGACATTTCAGGTTTAGTTGAAGTTAAACACAAAATGTTTAAGTTTATTACATCTGGGTCTATGAGGGCCACCATAATGCTCATGTGGTCCGCAGTGAAAATGAGTTCCTCTGCTTTATATGTTTCATTGACATTCCAATGGCATTTTAAAATAGCTTCCTTTCCTCAATGGTTTTCATTGCATATACTTACATGTACGTCAACTGTGAGTCAAAGCAGCTGATTAAAATTGTGATTCCAAAACTAAAACAAACACGAAGATTTGAGTTGAAGAACATATATCTGAGTAAACTGCAGCCAGTGATCCAAACCAACAGRGACGTCTGACAAGCAAGTCCACAATCCAGACTGCTTCATCCCATTTGCCCAATTTAGTGCAACCTACGTGTCAGTGTTAGCAGATGATGCTCGGGATCGCTCCTCACATCCTTTTCTAATGGGCTTCACTAATGCCTATTGATCGTCCAAGTAGGATAAGACTGCTCCCTTAACTAATTATTAAGTGCTCTCAGGCTGCTTTATTGTTGCTTTTAAGACGGTTCGAGGAGTGGGTTGAGCGCCGAAGCCCTCGCCAGCCTTTTTATATCCATCAAGGGGCCATTTTCCCCTTTTTTACATGGTTTATCCACCTCACACTCATGACACGTCCTGAGCTCTATGCCAGCGGTCGCTTCCGATTCCTGCCAATASTGAGGTGATTTTCTTAATCATTTTCTTTTTTACTCTTTTTTTAAACTCATCTCTTTAAAAACAGGGGTGCATGCGGATCAATAAATCAAAGTATGCTGCGCTCGGTGCCACTTTAGGCGATTAACAGCCTGTAGAAAGCAGAGCGAACAAATCTTTTTTTTTTATTACAGTACAGTTTCCAAACAGTAACAAAAAAATCAAACAAGAAATCATTAATTAATTTCCTTTTTATATAACTTTATTTAATTGAATTTCCACTTCATGATCTAATCTAATATGCACCACAGCAGCTGGATCTTTAGGCAGAGGGGGAACAATTTTCAAGCAAAAAGCTGAGAGGCATAAATCAAATTAATTGGCTGAAAATGGGGCTTCATTTGTCTCACTGAACCAAGACAAACTGATTCATCAGATTCTCCCCATATGTCTTTGTATTTTTTTTCTCCCTGCGTGTTCCTCATCACCCACCACACCTTTTCACCCCCCACCGCCACRACTCTCGTTTGCTCCAGGATTATGGGCTTTGTTATCCTGTCCTTGGTCCTGAGCTGGGCTTCACTGGGGACTGGCACTGCTACAGCTGTGGTGAGTAAATGGCAGACTCTTTAGTTTCAAATGAAATTAATTAAAATTGAATTAGTTTCAAACCCAGTTTCAATTGCTTTATTTGCCTAATAAATGTAATTGAATGATAAACTAAAGAGGGTCTTGGTGTGCAGTCAGAGTTTTCCTTCGTTCCTGTTATTATTGCCCTCTGCAGAAGAAGGCAGAGAGCTCAAGGTTTTTTTTTTTTTTATGTCTGTGTTCTTGTCTGTACTGTTTGGAAAATATCTCATGAATCACGCAACAGATTTTAATGAAACCTTCAGAAAGATTAATTTTGGAGTGAACCTGATTCAAGATGACCATCACAGCTAATTATACTTAGAAAACACAAAAARTTTACTGACATAAAGTTTTAGCTGGACATCATCTGCATAAAATTCAACAAATTGTGCAACACTATTGCTTTAAACCTTCGCATTAAAGGAGACATGTCATGTTTTTAWATCCTTCTTTTTTTACATTTAAATCATTCAGTTGGGGTCTATATAAAGTGGAACTGCAATGCTCTGATCTGAAATCCTCCTTATTGTAACTCCACAAGCCCCTCTTTCAGCCCTTTACTTAGGTGTGGATCAGATCAACTCGTTTTGAAGCTGTATCTTTAAATCCAAAAGAGGCACTTCACACCCCGCCCCCTTCAGCTTCCAGAGCGGTCCATTCTTGTTTTGTAGAGGGTTTTAATATAGCAGCGTTTAATTTACAAATTAATTAAAACATGTCAGCAATAGAAGACTTGTCCATCCAGCCTAGCATGTTGGACCCCGAGTCTGACCCAGAGCCAGAGGAGAATGAAGATGACGAGTTTGTAGTTGGTAAGTCCAGAGCTTATTTGGCAGTTCCCTTGCAAATTTTGTGACATAAATACTTCTGAAAATGTCATTGAAAATTGAACGGGCTGAAAAACATGACCCAGTATAAGGATATTCATGCAGCAGAGAAAAAAACAAAAAATTAAAATCTGCACTGCTAAGTCAGGGG